GGGGGGGGGGAGTTATGCTGCTGCTATAAAGGTTCATTGCAATGCAAAAGTGAGGAGGGAGTGGGGACCTATGGAATAATGTTCTCAAGAGCATGGCATTAAACTGCGAGTAAGTGTTATTAAGCATAGAGTAATCCACCTGATATGAAGCACAAGCCGCAAGGGCATACGATGAATCCATTATCGTGATTGAAAACAAAAAGGGAACCAAAAAAGATGTGATTGTGACTGACTGCTGCCCTGCTCCACCCCCCAGCAACCTCAGCCCAGTGATTATTTTCAGTTGAGCACCTATTTTCTTCACGTTAACGACTACCAAAAAAAAAAAAAAGACCCTTGCTGACCCTTGCCGGCAACGGACCAACGAGGTTTCTCGTCACGCTTCTTTGCCGCCGCGCCTGGCATTAGCAGCCGTCCTATAACCAATCAACCCCGCTAGATCTGCCCCAACCCCGGTCCAGGCTGGCCAATCCGCAACCGTTAACCGCCTTTTACAGCATTGCGCTACTGCGAGGAACGACGTCCCCTTTTGGGACGCTTTCCCATCTCTGCCCAACCACACGCCGAACCCTCGCTATTCTTTTGCTCGCTATCCTCGGGGGGAGGAGCCACCAAGTTTTAATCAACCAAAGACAATCCAGAGAACAATGCCATTACCAGCATGCCAATGCCCATCTCCAACCGTCTGTTCGCTCCCTCACACGGTGGTGAATTGCCAAAGAAAAATAATTTCATTAGCAGCTAGTCAGGATCCCAGCCCCCCGGTCCTCGAAACCCTGAGCCGCCATTCAAGAATCAATGCCCATTCATCATTCATGCCCAGAGAAGAGGCCATTGTATGGCCAACTGAGTCTGGCGAGTCTGGGTACTCATTTCGTCAGACTCCAGTGAGGAACCATACCCTGGGTTGCTGTCAACCTCTGATATACACGTCTCCTCATCACGAGATACGCGCCTTGCTGGATGACTGGATCTCCGCCTTGTCACGGGATCTCTCACAGGATCGTAGCTGGCTTGCTCGAGCACCACTGGTATCACCAAATGCCTCAGATCAAGGTCAATCAGTGGATCCGTAAGGCGTCTTTTATGCCTCACGAAGCTCAACCTCACCATGAGATTCGTTGTTTTTGCCTGTAGTCGTGGGCCGCCCACCGCTCAAGAGGCGTTGGGAAGAGCCACATTAGCAAAGCGACTTACGACGAGCGACGTTGTTGATGCGCGCTCCTTGCTCCGTCTCCGGCGACTAACTAGAGTCTTTTTTGTTTCCTTGGCTTGGCCTCTGATATCCCGTCCTTTGCTCGTCAAGTGATGAAGCTAGAGCCCGAATCGCCAAAGCACCGAAAAGCCACAATGTGCCATGCGATAGCAGACAAAAGTTAATTATATCGGTCGCTGGATATGTACCTCCCTACCTTGCTGCCCGCCTACATTACAAACATACATACATACATGCCTGCTATACACACTTGCATGCATTTCTTTGGGGGTCCCCGCTCCTCTCCTCCTCCTCCTCCTCGTCCTCCCTCGTTGCTGTGCTACAGTAGTAATGGGCAGTGGTGGGCAGCATTAATAGTAGCAGCGAGCAACTGCATAATACCCAGGCCCGTCACTATCAAAACCACGTCCAAAGTATTCAATCATCGTTGCTGAGAGAGAAGACCCTGGTCTCCCTCCCTGGTCAAATTCGGCATGCACTGGGCTGGTCAGACCCCTGCTCGAATGCTGGACCATGCAGACCTTTGGCTTAGCCGTCCCGAATCCGCTCTAGATTTGGCCGCTCGCTTCTATATGCATCCTCGAGCCATTGACAGGCCAGGACGACTCGTCTTAGGCGCTGACCTTCTCAACGTAGCCATACAAGACTTAATTGCACGCACGCATCCCCGGTTTTTGTCCTCTCGGTGGCCATATTTTCTTCTTCTTCCCTTCTCTGCATCTTGCTAGTGCGCGAACGCTGCATTTCACTGCTATTTGCTCGGTTCCTGGTCCCAGAAACAGACAGACAGACAGATAAATCTTCACGAGCACTCAAAGCGCCGCCGCCGCCGGCACCTAGTACACACCGACTCTCTGTCGTGGCATATATAGTCACTTGTTACACCGGTCACTAACACGCACACGCACACGCAACGCGCAACTTGACGCACGCACGCACTCACGCTCCCGCATCTCTTCTTTTTATTTTCTCCCACGAGGCAGGCAGGCAGATAAACCCCCGACCCCGAGAATACTTTGACGCCGCACAACTTAAAATCTTCTCTGCCGCCTTCTATCGTCTCAACATACTCCTTCCACACCTCGAGGAACGTGGCGCAACGGGCAGAAGAAAAGAGAAAGAGAGGCGCCATATAGATCCGACCTTTGCCCCATCCATTGCTCGGACGGAAAAGAAAGAGAGACACGGGAATAATTCACACGACATAGCAACGTGGGTTACGACAAGTTGTCCGTCGCTCTGCTGGTTCCTCCACATCTACGACCTTGTCAATCGGCTACACTGGCATTGGGGGAGAGAAGAATTGGTCAGGACCGGGCAGCTGATTATCGTGTGTAATGTTGGTGAACCAAATTGTGCACCTTTCCGCCTTTTAAGGTCACCCCAAAGACCTCTCGAGGAGACAGTCGCACGTTCAAGTGAGTCTTTTATCTTAACCGACTTTGTACTACAAGCCACATTCGGGTCTATAAGGGCTGTTTTCGGGATATCCACATACCGAGCTCTTCGCGGCCTTTTTTGTTGCGCCCAACACGAGATATGCTGACTTGTCGCTCTAGATTGAAACTGTTGCGATGGCTTCCTCGAGTCATCAGGCGATGTCACGCCACCGGCAGACCTCAGTCAGCTCGGCTGGGAAGTCTTCTAGAAAAGAAAAAGCTGTCGCAGAGCAAAATGATTTTACTTCGACAAAGGCATTGATGAAATACTTTGAACCTGCAGCAGCCACAGCTTCCATGCTCCTTTATGGACGTAAGTTATAGAAATACACACTCGCCATGTCAGGTCAAGTACTAAATTATTCTACGCAGAGGGTTCCTCCGTTGTCGTCGCGCATCATGATAGCCTCACAATAGAGAGGCGATTTTCGAGGCACTCGGCCGAGGTGCAATTATTAGCAGTTGATACGCAAAGTGAAATTGGCGCTGGCCGTTTGGTCGTGAGCTACGATGCCGACATGACGGCTATAGTTTGGGATTTGATGACGGGCGATGAGGTCGCGCGCTTCGCGTCATATGAAAATCTCACTTGCGCAGCCTGGATGCGCAATGGAAATGTCGCTTTTGGTAAGCGATGCCCAGGACGAAGCCGTCAAACGATACCAGTGCTGACTTTTTGGTGCAGGTAATTCTCAAGGAAGCATCATATTATTTGAACCCACAACATCGGAACACATCTCGGCAAGGACAATTGATCAAATCACGGTCACGGCACTTGCTCCAGCAGCAGACTGCAGGACATTTGCCATTGGGTAAGTCGCCTTACTACATATAACCTGGTTGGGCGCTACTAACTCACCCCCAAAGATATCAAAATGGATCTCTCCTCATTGCAACTCTGCAGCCAAGATTCCAAATCTTGCACAATCTAAGTACCTCGAGGGCACCGTCGCCCATTGTCAATTTGGCCTGGCATGCTTCCTCGCCTCGCCAAAAGTCGGACATGTTGGCCGTGCAGACCAACGACGGTGATCTTCGGGTCTGGAGTGTGGCAAAGTCTTCGACCGGCGATGATCCTGCCAAGGTTGTGAGGATACTGAAGCGCACAGATAATTTCCAAAATGGACCCAACTGGATGGGCTGGTCAAAGAATGGCCGCATTATCCAGTACTCGGAAAGGTGAGTATACATACCATGCACCTTGTACGCGCGCGCTTAGCCACATGATGACTGACATCACTCGCCACAGTGAGACTCTTTCATGGGATGTTCGAACAAAACACGTCACCTATGACAGCATTCCAACACTGGAGCATGTGCGAGGCCTCGCTGTCTACGGTCCTGGTGCCAGCTTGTTCACGCTAGGAGCCAACAATACCGTCCAGCAATTCGACCTGAACACGCCGTCCCTGATGGTGGCCAATGTTCAGCACCCAGCTAACCTCTTACCGCCCTCACCTCCGGTATCCATCGAGGAGCAGGTCGAGCAAGGGATCGTTGTCATCGCCACCGACTCGGACTCGGTATCTGTTCCTATCACGTCCGAGGTCTCTGAGAGCGATGAAGATCACATGTCGCCATTGGCTAGGATCGTTCGTGGGACCGACGTCGCCAATGATCCATACGAGCAAGATCGCTACATGGCGGCAAGCCCAGTGTCGTCGAGGAGCCACGCGTCTTCAACCTTGTCCAAGTCGTCGGCTGGCTCCAGCACCCGTGGGCGGCAGGCGCCCTCGGTCATGTCTCGTGGAATGACGGAAAACACTTACATCTCCACCGGCTCCTCCTCAATGCGCTCCTCCGCCATGCCTCCCTATGGGGACAAGGATGCTTACTCAATCAGCAGCGTCAGCTCGGCATCTGTTACCTCGTCCTCGCACGCGTCCCGTCGCCACCGGCCCTCGCGCCTGAGGAACGAGGTCCCTAGGAGTCCCGATGACAACAAAGTTCATGACCTCTTCAAGTTCACTCGCAGCAGGCTTCATGATGTTCCTTATAAGCGAACACCGCTGGCTGACCAGACCCGTTTGACTAATGATGACCTCAGAAGACAGATGCTGAGTATTATCTTTGGCTGGAATAAGGAAATTCAGGACCTTGTTCGAGATGAAATGTCTAGACACCCGAATGGGTCCTCGAGCCGTATTCTTTTGGCCAAGTGGCTCGGTGATATTGATGCAGACATCATGACCGCCTCGTCCGAGAACATGACCTCGTCCGATTGGATGCTGCTTGCTCTGAGTGGTATTGGTGGTCAGGCTTCTCAGCACAAACTAGGTCGAGCATATGTACAGAGGCTCTTGGAGAGTGGCGATATCCACGCAGCTGCGACCATCATGATTGGCATGGGTGATCAGAATGATGCAATTGAGATTTATGTCTCGCACAAGCGCTTCATGGAAGCATTGATCTTGCTCTGTCTTTTCTACCCCAACGTCTGGGAACGTCAATCCCAGATCATCAAGAAATGGGGCGAGTTTGCAGTTCTACATGGCCAGCAACAGTTGGCGATTCGTTGGTAGGTGTCTCTAGCTCACTGACCGAGAAACTAAAGATGAGAAAAGACTAACCTGATAATAGTTTTGCTTGTACTGGACAAGAATCCACGGAGCCCTGGACGTCCCCATCGGCGGCTCAGGTGACATTCCAAAGTATGGACGCTACTATTCCGGAAGTCCTGAGTCCTCCATTGTCTCCTCCTGGAATCAACCTGGGACCACAGCGGAGCATTGCCAAGACCTCGGCCTTGAAGCTCATCACCACATTTGGTGATCAAGGTTCCAAGTCAAAGTTCTTTGCGGCTGGTGATGGTGGACAAACGCCCATTGCGGCTGGCGTCACTCCGATTGCTGAATCTGCCGTTTCACCAGGTGGCCGTGATCCCACCACGGCGTTCCTCAAGCCATCTTCCCGGAGTACTTATAATACCCCGTCTTCAGCGCGTGCTGTGACGCCTGGAGGTTTCGGACGGCCTCGTCTGCCCTCTATTGGCGAGGCTCGCGTTGAAGTTCCGGCATTGAAACCTCAAGAGGCACAAAAAGAACGCACTCATTCAAGGAAGTCATCCTACGAGGACCAGCAAATGATTGCTGGCCTGTCCGTGACTCGTGCTTCAACTGCAAGCCCCATGATGATGCGCGAGAACCACCGCAAGAAGGGTCATCCTCCCCCATCACCCTCGCCCGAGTCCTTTGCTGCTTTGATGGCTTCTGGGCGCTCAAGCCGCAATGGTGCCCGCGATAGAGTACCCGATGGAATTGACTTGAAATTGCAATCGATTGATGATGCAGTCACGAGCGACATTACCTCGCCTGAGCAGTCTGTCACATCCTCGACCCGCTTCCACTGGCCATCCCGCAGGCGAGGTCCCGGATCGGTCGCAAGCTCTGTCACTTCCAGTTCAAGTGCTGGGCGAAGCCTTCGCAGCGGCCATGGTACCCGGGCCGTGAACAACTACATCTCTAGCTTGGACACAGCCCAGAGCTCCTCGAGAAGGCAGCGCAGTCGCGAGAGCAGCCGACCGCGACAGGACGAGCGGCGTACGCGTAGCAGCAGCAGGAACCGCAAAGACCAGCGTGCGTCTTCCGGAGATCGGGGTCGTGGCACTGTTCGAAACTATACTCCCAAGCCTGCCAAGCGCTCGCCCACCTCTCCATTGCCCATGTCTCCAGAGGACCTGCTGAACCTCAGCACTCCCCGGGTCAATGAGGGAATTGTTGGCAACGAATCTATAATTCCTCTACAACTCGACAGCCATGAACCATCCACTGTTCGCAAGTCGAGCCAGATTCGTGTCTCAAGCCGGACATCAAGCCGAGGCCGCAAAAGAAGTTCCGAGAGGAGGCCACCCGCCCTGGACTTGCGCGGTAGAAGCAAGAGTCGTGGAGATGGCTCAGTTGCCCGCTCGCCATCTTCGCCCCTGCCCATGTCCAGCCAAGCTGCGCAGTTCTATGGCGGCTCCGACGACGAGGAAGACTACAGAGCTGCAGTCGAGGCTCAGGAGATGTTCCGCGCCAAGCACAATGGCAGTCGCGGTGCAAAAGAACCTGCCTCTCCTGCCGTCTCCCGTCGGGACGGTTCTGTGCCGCATCGCAGGCGAACCAAGACACCTGCCCTCGAGGACGTTCAAGCAACAATCAAGCAGGCACCCCAGGTTGTTTTCGATGTGACCGAGCCTGTACGTAGCGGCGACCTGAAGCAGATCCTGAACGAGAGACAACTCAAGAAGGAGGCTGCTGCTCGCGAGCTGGAGGAACGTCGAAAGTCGCTCGCTCGAAGACCCTCGGCTCCTCCGATTCCCCACCCCGATGAGCTGTCGCCCATTGCTTCAAGGCCTCCTACGGCGTTCGAGCTCCCTCAGACGACTTTCACACCCCAAGACCTCCCTCAAAGAAGTCAGACCGCCGACTTTGCTAGAAGCTCATCATATGCCCGAACGGGGAACAGACCCTTCATTGGTCTACCGGCAACGCCCAAGGCAATGAGGCTGCAGTTTGACAGCCATGGTGTGGGAAAACCCAATGTGCCTCCTGTTCCCATGGCCTACGTCAAGACTTCGCCTTCGTCTTCTGCCCAGCCATCTCCGAACAACCTCCCTGTCAGCTCTCCCGAAAAGTCACCCCAGTCCTCGCAACAGGAGTCCCTCCTCACCCTGCTGCCTTCAACTGTTTACTCGCCCCCAATGCGCCCAGGCATTGAGAGGTGCATGTCTGCTCCCATCCCAGAGGAGCCCATGGCTTCCGCCGGTTCTCCGATGCGCCCGTCTCAGCCATCAAGCAGGCAAGGTCGACGAGGCTCCGTCTCGCGCAAGATGAGTGTTCCAGATGCCCATATCGGGGGCAGGGGAATTGATGAAATGATCAACGCCCCCAGACACTCGCGTCAGGCCTCTCGCGACGACCAGATGCCACCACCTCCGCCTCCTCCCCCGATTCTGAGAGAGCTGCAGCACCTGGCGACGCCTCCACCGCCACCGCCCGCTCCTATCCCGGGTATGCGCCCCCAAGTCCTCGGCAGCGCCGGATCCGGCACCATTGAGATTGTCATGGACGAGGATGATCACAGTGATGGACCCGCGGGCATTCCCGTTGCCGTTCCTGTGAGCGAGGCCACGGTGCCCATCATTGCCCCTCCGGCTCCACGCAGCCAGAGCCATGCCCGCGGCCGCAGCTTCTCGGAAAAGGACAACAGCATCGCCAGCCGCATCAGTCGGGCCACGGAGCGCATGCGCTCTGCCAGCCGCGGTCGCAACAACTCGATCCTCGGCAGCCGCACCAAATCTCCCGAGCAGACTTCGCCTTATGAGAGCTTGCTGCCCCCCGTGAGCTACAAGGCCCCCATGATTGAGCAACAGCAGCAGCCTCGTGAGCCCCAGATGATTGAGAGACATCCTCGCGAGGTGAGGGCAGCATACCAGCAGCAACAGCAACAGCAGCAGCAGGCCTACACGATCGGAGTCAACGAAGGCGAAATGTTTTAGATGCCATTTCGCCACAGAAAGACACACACGACTCTTATTTATTTATATCAATGCATGGCGTCGGCGTTGCTTTTTTTGTACTTCTTTTTGATACTCATTTTTGCTTCTTGAAATACTTATTCATTTTGATACCACTTCTCTTCTTGGTACGGAAAAACAAACGAAACGTCCAATACAGCTATATACACTGCCTCGGATTTCTTGGAATTTTGTCAACGAGGACAGGAAAATTTCACAGCCAACAGCATTTATATCGACTCTCTCCACAGCAAACGACAGTATCTCACGACTCTCTTCACATTCACCTTTAGACTTGTACACTTCGCATCTATCCTTAACCTCTGGACTATTCTTGGAGTGGGTGGGCACGGCGAGGGACACGAACTATATATATCATGATTGCGCGAATATATAATCAAGCCCAGAGTCTGTGAGGAGACTCTGGGTTTTCTACAGCCTTTTCTTCCAATAGGTTAGGCGCCACACGGCGGAAATCAAGGGAATTTGCTGTTTGAGGACGGGGAGAGAGACTTGTACAGAATGTGTTATGGGCAATCCCCGGCGGCAGCGCATAGGGGAGAGCCGGGAAAGAGACTGGGAATATCGCGCGCGCGCGCGAAAAAGGGGGAGAGAGCATTGGGAGGAATGGGAACGTGTTCATGACCACCTTTTTTGTTTTACAGCGCTGCCTCACGGCACCTCTTCTACGACCCGAATGATGGGAGTTTTATGCTGATGGTTGTTTCTTCTCTTTCCTGGTGGGATCTTGAATTCTATTCTAGGTAGTTGCAAATAAAGATAATTCATAAGCTGTATTGACTTGGTGGCATCATATGCGCGATAAACAAGCCGCCCGAAAAGAAAAAGAGAAAATGGGCTCATGCGAAAGAAAAGAACAAAGTCATGTTGGTCGAAAGATCGTGTGAATAAGTAGCGAACAAAGGACCACTTGTGATGGGGGCAAAAAAAGACAAAAAGAATAACGGAGTTGACAATCTCCATCTCAACCCACCAGTCCAAATCCCCGAGCGAACGTGATCCAACACGCCATGCGACGGGGGAGATGCTCTGCTGAGTAAAGCCTCCCTGAAGCGTATTCTCCATTTCCTAAGGTATCCCAATCAACACGAGTTACCTACGCGGATGGGACACCACCGCGGCATTCGCGCTGGGCGAAGCAATCGGGGGATCTGACGGAATTGAACGTGACGGGTTGAGAATTATAAGTGTCTTCTAACCAATTGGACCATTACAGTCGAGAAAAATGGTTGTTATCTTAGTCCAAGTAGTCTAGAGCTATGGGGCCGAGGATTAGCCATGGAGACTGGAAGCCCCCTAGCGCATGTGCCATGCTAGGTACCAGCAATGATAGCGATAAGGAGCATGCATCAATTGAGTGCTGTACCAATACCGCGTAAAGCACGTTGACTTCCCTGCGCAAGTTGACATGTCTCTTTTCTGATTGATTTGGCACTCTTGATTCCAATGAATTGCATGATGCTCCTCTTGATATACTGCAATCACATGGCCTAAAGGGAAGCCATTGAAACGCCAGTACGGCGCATTCGTTACCGACACCACGACCGCCCAACCAAACTCCTATACACTCAAGAGCTTCCGAGATCTATTGCCCCAGAGCTCTCGAGACCTTGTCGTTTTCCATACAATCTCGCAAACAAGAGAAAGCAAAAGATGCTCACCACGGCACCGCGCCTGCACATACGGCGACCCTCGCCCACAACGACCGAGTTCACCGTCTCGACGCTGCCGCCGCAGACGGTACCGCTCCGCCTCCTGCTCGGCCTCGTCCACGCGGCGCGCGTGGTTCTGAGCCTCTCGACCCTCCTCGTGCTCTACGCCGCCTGGTCGCTCTCGCCGTACGGCACGGTGCGGCCGGGAGCGGCCCTCGCCCGGCCCGCCGAGCTCGTCTCCTTTGACCTGATCCTGTACCTGCTGCACGGGTGCCTGACGGCGACGGGGGCCGGGGGCCGGCTCGCCGTGGCCGTCGCGGCCTCGACGCCGACCTGGGCGCTGCTGCCGGGCTGCGCCCTCGCCCTGTACGCCGCGGTCCGCCGGCTGCACACGTCCGAGTCCCTGCTCGTGCTGCGCGGCCTGGGCATCCAGACGTCGAGCTCGGGACACACGGTCCTCGGCGGCCCCGCCACGCGCTTCATCCCCACGGAAAAGATCCGCGACGTGCTCATCAACGAGGCCTTTCTCGGCTTCGAGGTCCGCTACTATCTGGCCGTGGTTGTCGAGGGTGAAGACGAGGTCGTGGTCGTGTTCCCCAAGCTCCTGCCGCGCCGCGATGTGGTTGAGCGTGTGTGGAGAGCTGTTCGCAGTTGTCTGTTCGAGGTTCGTCAGAAGAAGCTTGTCCAAAGCCATGGCCATAATAGCAAGACGAGAAATGGAGTGGCCTGAGATGATGAGCTTAAGGGATAGTAGGCGGGCGGGCCTTGTCTGCTGCTGAAGTTGAATTGCACGGCGATTGGAGCGTTTGTTCTACATTAATTATGATACCCAAATGAACAAGTTTTGAATTCATCTTTACGCCATCTTCTTTTCTAAATGTTGTAAATGGGGTATATGTCTTTTTTGGCCGTGGAAATTTTATTCGCCGTGATCCATACATAGTAACGTTGCAATCATTCTCCTCCTTCTTCCTCTGCTTTGGCCGCAGCACTTCTCCTAATGGCCGCATTATTGTTTCGCTCTTCCCTCCAATGGGCGGCACTCTTGTATCCCCTCCGCTTGGCTTCCTTCTCGTACGTGTCCTCCGGCAAAGGCAACTTGGACTTGTTCAGCATGGGCTGGTACTTGCCAACGAGGCGCTCCCGGTTGCCGCCCTCGAACATTCTCTGGCTCAGGGCAACGTGAGGCGGCGCGCGGGGGTCTTTTCGCTTGTCAATATCGGCAAGCCCGGCCACGACATTGAGCAGCTGGCCCGACAGGATCTCATCCATCTTGCGCTCCCGCCAAAACTCCCACACGTCATCGACGAGGCCAAAGGCCCCGTGCTTGTTCAGCGGACTGTCCTCGCCAACATAGACCCAGTCCAGCGCATCCTTGCGCTCCAGGTCGCCGGCCCGCGGGAAGAAGCAGTCCCACAGGACCAGCGGGAACTCGCTCGCCAGGACGTAGTTAGGCCGCCGTGGCTGTGCCTGGTAGTCGAGGAGCTGGTCCACAACCTCGGGCGCCTCTAGCCCCTGTCCGACCATGAAAATCACGGCGACCATGCACCGGATCTGGTGCCACAGGAATGCCGAGCCGCGGACGTGAAAGTAGTAGACCTTGGGGCACCTTGTTCCCTCAGCCACCTCCGTCCCTGTGTTGTCCAACGCCGGTCGGAACTCGGGCTGGCTCAGGTAAGGCAGCGCCGTCTCGACATGTTCGACTTCGACAATGTCGCACTCGAAAATCCTGCGCTCAAAGTTGGTGATGAGCTTGCTCGGGTCAATTTTGCAAAAGTTCCGAAAGTCGTGCGCGCCCTCGAACTTTTTGGCCGCCTTGCGCATCGCTTCAATGTCCAGCCAACCGTCCTTGACCTTGACTGTCGCCTTGGGGTGTTCGAGGCTGTTTGGAATGGGAGAGTAGGCTGGTTGTGTGAAAAAGTACCGATACTGTCTCTCCCTGCAGTCGTGGCGTGCCGAAAAGTCTGCCGGCACCGTGGGGCACCAAGCCAGAATGCGAATATCTGGGGGTAGCAGGCGGTTTAGAATCTTGCAGTACTGAAGTTCGTCTTTGAAGTCGTCAAAGGGCTTTTCCTCAGCCACTTCCTCTGTCTCCTCTCCAGCAGCCTTTTTGTTTTCCTGTTTTACAACTTCGGCTTGTTCTGAAGAGGCTGGAGTCACATCTTGCTTCGGCAGCGGACGATTACTTCTGACACGAATACCAATGACCTGCCCGAACGCGCTCACGCCACGATCCGTACGGCCACACTTGCTGTATTCCCAGTCATCCCACCTGACCTCTGCCGGATTCTCAGGCATGATGAGACAGCTTTTGACCAGCGCCTTCCAGAGTTCCTCCTCAATCGTCGACAGAGCCGAGCTGGCCTGGAACTCGAAACCGCCATAGTTCTTACCAATATATGCAAGCTTGAAGGCGACCAGACGAGTCGTGTATTTGGAAGGGTCAATCTTATTGTCCGTCTTTTTTTTCTTGGGCTTCAGCTCCCGACCATCATTATCAGCGCTGCTCTGTGGCTGTTGCAATACTGCCGCCGCGATCTCGGCAGACTGCTGCTCCGTGACCTGGGAGCGAGGCGCCGAAGAAGCAGCTCGTTCCGCTTCTAGTGCCTGCACCCGCTGGACGAGAGCCTCCTTGGTCCAACGGGAGTAGTCTGGCTTCTTGTCCATTTTCAAGGGCCTGACCTGCAGCTCCTCGGGTTGCACACGTGGTTGATTTGCGATCAGCCGAATTGGGCAAATTTTCGTCTTGAGATGAGAGCGAATAGAGAGAATGCAAGAGTCGGGAAGAAGCCGGTGGCTGCGGGCGGTTCTGTTAAAAATACTCATGCATGCATGCCAGTATTTGAACCACGTCTTCTTGTTCCAATTTGCGTTTCTTTGATGACTCAAGGCTATAATTATATACTGCCCAAATATGAAAAATCATGCAAAGGTGCGGCGGCGCCTATGGCTGCAATAGCGGCTCTAGTTCCGCCCCGCCTATCTTTTTACCACTCTTGTTTGGGTGGGCGATGGACGCTGAGCACTTGCGCTACATATTGGTACACTCGTCCACTGCCAAGTTTGGACTGTTGCAAACGTCACCCAAGCGACTTTCGTCACCTCTTGTTCGATATTTCATCACAGATTCTTTATTTTTAGGCATGGACGAATTATTTCCAGTGAAGATTCTGCTCCTCGGAGACGCTCATGTTGGGAAATCTACATTTCTGGCGTGCGTCAAAAGTTCAATCTCTCCGATATGGCTGCTGCTTCTTCTAACATGACTCTATCACAGCCGCATGAGCAAGGGAGCCGGCGCACTCGAGGGCAATTTGGATATCGAACTTTTGCGCGACATGGACCAGCCCTTTATATTCGAGGCAAGGAACAAGAAAGGCGGTTACCGACTGGAGTTTTATGATACTTCGAGCCCCGAAAATTGGCGACTGCTGGAACCAGATATGGTCATTATTTGCTACGACATCAGCCAACGGCTGAGCTTGATCAATATGCAAAGAGTTGTGAGTGACTCATACCTGTCCAAGAGCTACCTCACCTCTTCCTTCCGCGCTGACTCTTGCCTTGTTGCTAGTGGATCAAAGAGGTCCGCACAACCTTCCAGTCAGAATCTCAACTGCCTCTTCTAGTGTTGGGTCTGAAGAGAGACCTGAGGTCTGAGCAAGACCCAAATGGTATCATTTATCCACAGGAGGCATACAGGGTAGCTCAAGAGATGAGAGCCGATAAATACGCCGAGTGCTCGGCCACCACGGGTGAGCTTTTCAAGCTAGCCTTTGAAGAGATCTTCAGTACGGCAATGAAGACCAAGACGGCTGCTGGTGGCCAGAGCGAGGGTGGTTGCGTAGTGATCTGAGCGCTGCATTTGGCGATTGAGTTTCAACGCGCAGGTTGATGACATGCAATTTGCACATCTCTCAATGGCACCCGAAGGCTTGATATGTCGGAAAGGTACCGTTCGTTGCCTCAGTCTTCTCATCGGTCCTCAGTTGTCTCCATTACATCTCCTTGATCCTCGTCCGCTTCCTCCTGCTCTGGAAACTGTCCAAGCACCTCTGCGATGCCAGCAGAAATGTCTTCCTGCTGCTCGGGCCCAAAGCGAACCTCCATATCCTCAATGACAGTATTTAATGCCACGGGGTTGGTAGGGCGCATATTTAGAATCATGATCATCTCACCCTTAGTGATCTCATAGGGTCTAAGCCTTTCGAGCAGTCTTGAGATGGACGTCTCATCATAGGCAGGTGGCTTCTGACTCAATGGACCAGGATGAGTCTCAAAATATTGAAGAAGCTGGTAGTATAGTAGAATTCATCAGCCAAACAATGCTTAATTGAAAAAAGAATAATTATGACTGTCATTTCTGCACAGTAAGATGATGGTATTTTTTACTAACCTCTCTGCGCAGTGTCTCTAGGTTGCCTGGACCCCTGCGCTTCTGCTCCTGATATTCTTTGGCCTGCTTCTGCAGGAACTGATAGACCTCGACATTGGTCAATGTGGCAGACTGAGCCTCCAAGATCTTCATTGTTTGGGTTGCTTGCTACCAGGTCCCGAGGCTACGTTTCGAGATGGAATGACGACAAAGAGCGGTGACAAGGTTCCGATATTTTCCTTTGCGATCCGGGTGGGTGTAATGTTTTTTGGGGGGGCCCAAACACAATTTCTCCAACTGAATTGTCACAAAGCTTCTGCCGTGCAATTGTGCCACACAGGACTTTTTGGTGCAAGGTCCAGTCCCCTTGGTCTCAGTGTGACTACCGTAATGGGGGTAGGAGAAGGGAAAAAAAAAAAAAAAAAAAGAGTTGCCGTAAAGCCGTGTGGCTGGCTTGGTTCGCAAGAGTAATGCACTGTTGCGGGAACAACAAGGCTTGCTGGTTTGCTAATTGCTCGGTCGTCGCCTACTGGCCTTGTACTTAGGTATGAAAAGCCCCAAACCAAAGGGCGATCAAGCAATGGTCCGAATTCGGGAAATTTTTTTCTGCTTTCGAGGTGGTAACAGTAATGAACTGGGTATTGGATATTGACTGGCTGCAACTGGTTAGTTGAGTCAGGCTCCTCCTCCCAAGCTTCCTCTATGAGGGGAAAAGAATTGAACCCTTTGGTGGGGGAAAGAGTTTTTGGGCCCTCGAGCCTGACTGACCCAGCAGCCTGCCTTATTACATTCATTCCTGGAGGTCCTGGACCTGATCAGCAGCCAGGTAGGTCACACTGGCAAGGTCAGCCCCGAGAAGTTAGGTATGATACCTTTGCTGGTTACATTTGCCCACGACACATTCGTGGATACTATTGACTGCCATGATTACTCAAAGCCTCTTCCATTTCTAGTTCACATGCAAATGAACCTGGTCTCACAACCTTCTAGTCAGGTAGCTCTTCTCCCATATAGTATTTCGTATCATGAGCGACATCATACCAAATCTTGTTACGACAAAGTGACACAATATCTGGGAGCATTCATCCAGGTCAAGGTTCATTACCTACCTTGCTAGTAATGCAGGCCGTCTGCTAAATAGCCCAAGTCCTACCTAGCCCACTATGCGTGTTTCGAGTGCGTACTTTGGTGGTTTATTAGTCTCGCATAGGGCATTGCATCATTGCCTGCACATTGGCGCAAATCACTGATCGAAGCACTGGCATTCGCCAATTCCCTACGCAGCTTTTAGGCTCTTTTAGGCACTCTGACCCCTCACAATTACTGTTCCAAAGAGGCCTCTCCTACCCCACCAACCCACTAAGCGCGACACAAAAAATCTTTTCCCCACACGAAAGTCTTGTGCTCTCATGGTGAGGGACAGTGAGAGAGGAAGAAAAAAAAAAATTGAACTGCCAGAGTCAGGACCAGGCCCCAGAAGAAGAGCTCTTCTCTTAGACCAGCTCCCAGACCAGACAGACCCTCACTGGCGGCCCTGAGCCTGTAGTTTTGGTTTCTGTAAGATTTTTTTTTTATCCCTCTACCTCTATCCTCTGGACCTACTCCATAAATCTTCTCCTCGCGGAACTCTCATCCAAAATATCCTGCAGTCTGGAAACCCTGGAAACGCAGGTCATGGCTTATCTGTAACAAACTGCTATTCCGACGTCACACTGCCCGCCGCTCCTTTGGACCAATTCTCTGACAGCTTCTCCAAACTTCGCTTTTCGCCGGCAAAGCAAAACGCCCTTCCCGAACCCTTGGGCGTGTTTTAAAGCTACCTACCTCCCTATCCTCGGCTTTCATTGTGCCGCTGCACCTCCGTGACCGGTCACCTACATCGCGAAATTTTTTTTTTTGCGCGCAACTGCACCGGGGTCATACACGCTTCGCAGAGCCGTCGTCGAGACTACTGCTCAAGGTCTTCCGCTGTATACGCGGAATTTCAAGAGCATATTCGCATGGTAGCATTTAACTGTCCTGCTTTCGAGTTTGCAACTGCTTGGCTCCAGTCTTCCCGCTAGATTCCGTCTAGACTTTACACTCCAACAAAACCCCACCAAGGCAAGACAAGCCGCAAAGCCAAGTTCATACAAAAGTCACGCGACATCATGGTGCGCAATATCGTCGTTCTCGGTGGAAATTCCCACCCAGCACTTGTCGACAGTGTCTGCGGCATTCTAGGTGTACCTCAATGTCAGAGAATTCTCGGTAGTTTCTCTGTTGGTGAGAGTCGCTGCGAGATCAAGGATTCCGTGCGTGGCAAGGATGTCTATATTATCCAGTCTGGAGGCGGAAAGGTCAACGACCATTTCATAGACCTCTGCATCATGATTTCGGCCTGCAAGACAGGGTCTGCCAAGAGAGTAACTGCAGTCATGCCACTCTTCCCTTACTCGAGGCAACCTGATCTCCCTTACAACAAAGCGGGCGCTCCCTTGTCGAAACAGCCTTCCTCTCTAACCAACGGCTCATACACCTTCGAAAGCGTCCCTGCCACACCTGCTCCCGGCATCCCTAAGAGCGCCGGTCTTTCGAATGGCATTGATGGACTCAGCAAGAAGCTGGGTAAGGCTAGCATTGCTGAGGAGGTCAATGGCAACAGTACTCCAGCGGTTATCCCTGGCAGCGACAGCTACTTCAAGCGTCCCGATCTCCCTGCCGTCCCACAAACACCTGCCGCTACCTTTACGACACACGACTACGAGAAGAAGCCTCTCAAGAACTTCATACCAAAACCGGGATACAAGCAATGGGTTGCCCAGGCTGGAACGCTTGTCGCCGACCTACTGACATGCTCTGGTGCCGATCATATCATCACGCTCGACCTACACGACCCTCAATACCAGGGATTCTTTGACGTCCCGGTCGACAACCTCTACGGCAGGCCCATGTTGAAGCGATACATTCAGCAGACCATTCCCAACTTCAAGGATGCCGTGGTGGTGAGTCCGGATGCTGGTGGTGCAAAGAGGGCGTCTGCGATTGCAGACAGCTTGAAAATGGATTTTGCCCTGATCCACAAGGTAATGTGCTCGTTTTTATATACTTGTTCTACTCCTAAGTCTATTTAGGAACGTCGCCCGACAAAGATCACGGACCGTCAAAACGCTACCATGATGCTTGTTGGAGATGTCGCCAACCGTGTGTGCGTGCTGGTAGACGACTTGGCCGACACATCGAACACCATTACGAGAGCTGCCAAACTTTTGAAGAAGGAGGGTGCAACCATGGTCTACGCCCTTATAACTCACGGTGTTCTCAGCGGCGACGCCATCCAGCGTATCAACCAGTCGGCAATCGACAAGCTCGTCGTAACGAATTCAGTTCCTCAAGACGAACATAAGCGGATGTGTCCCAAGCTAGAAGTCCTAGACATCGGCCCAGCGTTTGCAGAAGCCATCCGTCGTGTTCACCACGGCGAGTCCATCAGCGTTCTGTTCCAGTACGACTAAAAGAAAACAAAATCACCATTGACTTCATCCGCGGCGATCGATACTTGTATTCTCTGTTTTCAGAGAGGCGTTCGACCAGTATTAGTAAGGAGGGCTCTCGTTGACGGGTGGCTACCAATCTTGCTATCGTGCATATCGTCAGATTCCGGCGTTCCAGAGATTCCGTCATTTTTTTTTTTATTTGGGTCATTTCGCATATGACTTTTCACAAAAGTCTGCATAGTGCCTTCTCTCCGTGAGGTCATGTTTCGCTCATCAGAAAGGGAGAAGTCCATTTGGTAAACTCTAGACATATAGAAAACAGTCCGCCCGGGTCTGCTTTCCTTTGCATCTTGGTGATATCACAAAAATTCGTAGATTGTACACTGTATTTTTGCGCTTTGGTCCTAAAAGGCTACTATAAAATATTGTGTGAAGGCTCAGAATACGTGTTTTCTGGGTGGTATTCCTCATTGGAGGCTGTACAAAGAAAGAAAGAAAAAAGAATAAATATACAGATAAGAGTACCGTTTTTAGCAATGTATGCATATCTAGTGCTTAGCTGTCACAGCTTATTTGTAAATCGCACGAGTCTTTGAGCAGGTTGTTACTTTGTATTGAGTGTTGATTGTGTTACTCTAGAACCAGCCTAAAAGCAATATGTTGAGTTACACATCAGTAAGTACTATTGCAAACTGGAACAGTTTTTTTTAATTTGGGTAAGCAACATATGCCAAGCCATGATGCAAGAATAATGGCAAAGGCAAAGCCCTCTGTAGGGAGAATGAAAAGTTGGCCATCATGTTCGCACATGAGAGCAAGTCGAGTTTACTTGACAAACCACTTTTAGTTGTGTGGTATCACGGCAGTTTTATTACCGGCATATGGATTGATTGGAGTATACTAAGACATCCAAGACTTCCTATTCTTTTCTTCTCAACCTTTCATTAGACAGGCTTACCAAAAAGTACCCCGCAATACGTCAGTTTGTCTTCTCCGATGCAGGCGCGATAAGGGAAAGAAAATAGCTTATCGCGCTTCTGTTCAGCGGGATAGTTCTTAGTGGGCATCCGATCTGCGATACACTCAACTTCGATTAGCAATACATAAAGGTACGATAGCGCCGCCACTCGTAGTCGACTATATTCTGCTTCCATTTGTTGGCACGCTCCCAACCATTGACGCCAATAGTACATTCAACAAACATTGGAAGAAAGTCGCACAAGCAGGAAGAATACAGAAGACACAACCCCGCAATCCGTTTTTTTGCGTACAATCTGGAACGTTTTAAAACCTCCCCGAGCCATGTCGAACACGGAACCCGAGGGACCAGCGACAACGACCTCGCCGGCGCAAGCAAACCACTCCCTTACGCTCACGGCCCTCCCCACCCTCAAACCAGACTTGTATGAGCGCGCCTGGGCCTCGATACCGCACCCAACGCTGCCCCTCCTCGCGACGGCGCACCAAAAGGCCGTCACCGTCTTCTCCCTCTCGTCCCTGACCTCGCACAGCACCTTGACGGGCGGCCACACGCGCTCCGTCCGCTCCGTCGCCTGGAAGCCGAATCTTGGGCCCCAAAAGCTGTGTCTGGTGAGCGGCAGTTTTGATTCGACCGCGGGACTCTGGCGCTGGGAAGGCCCATCCGATGGCGGCGCCAACCTCGAGACCGAAGTGACGGCCGCGACAAGTACCAACAGGTTAGGAGCAGGGTCCGATGACGACGACGACGAAGGGGAAAAGGACTGGGAATTCACGCTCGTGCTCGAGGGCCACGACTCCGAGGTCAAGTCGGTCGTCTTCTCGCCGAGCGGACAGTACCTGGCCACGTGCAGCCGGGACAAGTCGGTGTGGATCTGGGAGGACGTGGGCGTGACCGAGGCCGACGACGAGTGGGAGACGGTGGCGGTGCTCAACGAGCACGAGGGCGACGTCAAGGCCGTGGCCTGGTGTCCCGACACGCCCAACCGCAACGACCGCGGCCGCTACTCGTCCGACGTGCTCGCCTCGGCCAGCTACGACGACACGGTCCGCATCTGGCGCGAGGACGGCGACGGCGAGTGGGTCTGCGTCGCCGTCCTCGAGGGCCACGCCGGCACCGTCTGGGGCGTCCAGTGGGAGCAGAACCCCCGCCACGACCGGTTCCCGCGCCTGCTGACCTGGAGCGCCGACGGCACCATTCGCGTGTGGACGCTGCACGAGGAGTCAGACGACGGCGATGAGGAAGGCGCCCAGGACCGCCCGCAGCATGCTTGGGGTGGCCTCGGCGGGATACCCAACACCATGAGGCGCTCGCTCAAGGAGGAGTGGTCGTGTACAGCCGTTTTGCCCAAGGCGCACACCCGGGGACATTTACTCGGCCGCTTGGAGCGCCGAGTCAGGCCTCGTGGCCAGCACGGGCAGCGACGGCGTGGTGGCCGTGTACCGCGAGGCCGACGGCAACAACAACAACAACAACAACGTACATGCAACGACAGATGCCGAGGCAGCTGCCGAGCTAGACGGGGACGTCCACATGACCAACGGACAGACGACATCAGCGGCGGAATCACCGTCATCGTCACTGTGGAATATCGTGGCAACAACATCAAATGCTCACGGCCCGTACGAAATCAACCACGTCACGTGGTGTAAACGCTTCGACTCGGGTTGCCCGCCAGAGCGGAGAGGCGTCGAGGAGATGCTGGTCACAACGGGAGACGACGGTATTGTGCGGCCATGGCAACTATCTTAAGAAAGCGGAAAGACATTTTCACGGGATGCTGCTAAAAAGTTTCCAAAGTGCGGACTGCTAAATCGTGGATTCTTGTAAAAACGGAGAAGAATGACATATAGCATCGGGCTGAAGACAGATAAAGAAAGGCCAAGTACTACATAATGAAAAAGAAGATCATATGCAAAAGAATATCGTCTTCCATGAAGCCAGCCCATTGAGATTTACGTCGTTGGTGTGATCTCAAGGACTAGAAACAGTTGAGCTGTCGGGATAATAGAAACATGGCCGCACCCGCGACATGTCTTTTACTATCATATCTGGATTAGTTGTGACATGTCAATCACAAAGTACATAGCAGTCGGTTTACAATAATTGAATGTGGCTTGGTGAACCATGATGCATTTCTTTTGTGGTATCATCTCGGACATCTATTCGTCCGGTAATGCTAATGTCTGCTCTCGCAGAGGTTTTGGGTCGAGTCCGACCTCGCATTAATATGCAATCCCATCATTCCATGTCGCTGTCATCATACAATTGCGCTCATGCCATGCCCGGTCAAAAACTCCATTTGCAATGCTCATGATATGCGTTGACCATCAACCCAAGCAAGCAGCTTCCCAAAATAAAATGCACTAGAAATTCTCAAAGCCCTGTAATGGCGTCGAGGCCAGAACAAGATGATGATAATGATGATACTGTCTCCCAAAAACGAATAGGAGTGAGGATATCCTTGAAAACCAAAATGTTGAATCATAAAACTCCATGTCGTGATATCTTGAACGCCTCGCCAAAGTCCAATGAACCTCTTTTGTCTATCGTGGTCGTTACTTGCGGTTCCGAATTGACACTGATTCAGTGTTGTTAAAATGAAATTTTGTTCCGTTGTTAAGAATTGTTGTTGTGGCCCGACCACTCTAAAGTCCTGCCATTTCTGGACGAACTCAAGAAGAAGGTCTGCGGCCAGACGTAAAGACACGATGAAGCAGCCCCCGCTTGCTGCTACTATTCGGTCTGTCGTACTGATATGCGTCACATCGACAAATATCAGTGTTGGCAATACCACACGTGACCTTGCGTTCGAGCTCGGCTTCCCAGCCGTAGAGATCATCAGGTGACTGAAGTGTGTCGTACGAGCCCCGTGCACCAGGTCCTACAACAGAGACTGGAGTAGTACCAAAGTCGACTTCGTCGTCGACTGATGCATCAAGAAAACTGGACAGATCGGTAAACGATGCGAACGACGAAGGTATCTCGGCAACCTTGACCTCGTCCCTATCAGGGTCTTCTAGTAGTATCCCAACTTCTGTTTCGGTATCCGTGTCGAGCTCCAAAGCTAAAGGCGAGATCGGACCAGACCCTGAAAGACATGGCGATGGCGCGAGATACTTTGACGCGATGGTATTGGACGGTATGGACGATTCCAATAATATATTTGGGTCGTCATGTTCGACCCCCGGCACCTTCAAGTGTCTTGGTGCTGGATTGCGATGCCGTGTCCTCAAACTTTTGCGGACCAACGGCCTTGTATAAGAGTAAGTGCCCCCGGCTTTTGCGGCTACACCATCTAATGTACCCCTCTCAAGTGCATGCGAATATCCACAGGCCCCTGGGGCCGTGCTGATTGGTATTCTTGACCCAGGGTGCGGGTCTTCCCAGGATGGTCTCGAAAATTCCTGAGACTCACCATGAGGAGACGAACTTGCCGGGGGAATATATGCGCTGTAAGAAGTAACATTGAATGGTGTAACCTGTGCTTCCTATAAGGAAGCTGGTCCAGAGCGGGTTGAGGACAGTGGTTCTGGCGCCGCACTTGTGGGCATGTTTGTTGGCTGAGAGTGACGCGTCGCCCGGTGCTTTCTGCCTATGCCTAGGCGAGCACCCATCCTCTTCCAGCTGTTTCCCGTAAGCGCCCGATGCAGGTTGTTAGGGGAAGTGAATGTGAAGTCCGAGGTAGGTGGCGTGGTTGGGGGTGTCATGGGCTCTGTGCCTGGTGTTGTGTTTGGGCTGCTGCTATCGTCGGCAACGAGATCGACCTCCATGTGTTCGGAACCCAGGCCTGATCCTGAAGCAGAACCACCAGAGCCAGAGTTGGAACGGTTGGCAACTGGACTGCTGCGACCGAGGAGGAGTGGAAGAAAGCTTGTTTTTGGTGATTGCGATCCCTCCTCAGCGGAGGAATGGATCAAATCTCTGGGTATACGAAGTCGCGATCTGCTCTTTCTCTCGCCAACAACCTCTTGTCCATGAGCTTCAGATTGTACAACAGATTGGAGGAATGGATACAAGAGCGAGTCGGTCATCAATTCGAGTACGATGCTGACTGCCTCCTCCAGCTCGGATGGTTGTGGTACGGACGAGTCGGAACATTCGAGCTGTAGCAGACGGTCCCGGACGGGAGCGGGCAGGTTAACCTCTCGGGGGCTGTACGGCATTATGTACGCCTGCATGATCCTTTGCCACGTATCGCAAACGCTCTCATCCTCGGACTGTAGCTCGTGTTCTTGGTTCATGAAGTGATCCTCATAGGCTTTCCGGTAGCGGTCTGCTTCCACGAGGAATTCGAGTGTTTCCAGACAATGATTTTGTGACAAATATGCAGTAAATGCGCTGAGCGTCCACGGCGGTGGAGCGGTGTTGGACAGAATTTCGCCCAATGATGGAAGTCTGGCTCCGGGTGACGATGTGCGAGGAATCGCCAGACTACCTGGCCGTGATCGAGACATGGCCGTCTCTGTGTCCCAGTCTCCGTAGATCGACGAAGGTGGTGTAATTTCTTTCGGAGAAGGGGTCAAATATGTTGGTGAGTTACCGCGCAATCTGTTCCTGCCCATGCTTTCAAAAATTCAAGACTACCCAAGCGGGTGGTGAGCAAAAATGCCTGATGGACAGAGAAGCAGACAGGAGACGTCCTGCGATTGCAAATCCGTCCCGACTAAAGCTATTGCTCCATTCAATGGCAATGTAAATCCCCGCAAAGTCTTGCGAAGACGAGTTAGAACAGCAGATCGTGGGTCAAGATAGTGCTACTTCTTCTTGGTTCTTTTCCCCGGCAAATCAGTGTATACCTGAGTATTATGGAATCCCAGAAGCTAGAGCACGGGACTTGGCGATCTTCAAGACACTAGAGCAGAAATCGACGGTATCCCGCGGGTCGTCTCTGCAAGTTGTCAGGGTCCAAGCGTGATCAGATGGGCTCTGTGTTGGTGAAGCCCGTTGAGTCGACCACGGAGGGAGAAATTTTTGAAAGGGAATCAACGTGATTCACGAAGACGGTGTTGGAATAATATGAAGCCAGAATACGTGACGCAAAGATGTAGATCCCGTCGAAGATGCCGTAACGATGGCGAGGTCCTTCCAACGATAGCCAAACAACAAATCGATGCGGGGGTATTCCGCAAGATTAGCAATCTACCGGGACAATTGTACCGGAACAGTCGAGGACGGGCTGGCCAAGAAATAGAGTTTCGCTTTTGGCGGCAGGGTGCGAGGTGGTGCCAGATAGGCTTTGGTGCTAGACGCTGCAGAGGTTGCAAGACAGTAATCGGCTGGCGGCAAATAGGATGCTTGCTTGCGGCCTGGTATGTGTGAAAGTTTCTAGTCTCGTCCTCTCGCTCTCTCTGAAACCCGGTAAATGTGGGTGGTTTTGGATGGAATAAGAAGCAGGTAAAGTGAGTGAGAAGAAAGCAACAAAGGCAGTTTTAGCAGAAGAGGAAGATAGTTCTTTTTTTTTTTTCTCTCCCCCTTGGACCAGCCAGCCGCGTCTTCGTCGCCAAGGTGGACAAGGACTAAAGGAGTCAGAACCCAGAGAACCGGGCAGATGGTATGATTAGGCAAGTTCGCGGTAAATCAGCACAACGAGCGGGCCGGTCGTGCAATCTGGTGACGAAGGTGGAGTGTCGTCAGCGTTAGTTGGACAAGAAGTCACTTGTGGGTGTTGGACCAGCTACACAACGATCTAAGCAAGCGTCGCAAGTTCCGTAGGCTGGTGCAATGCCTTAGTTAGCTCAGCAACCAGCGAGCGACCACGAACGATGGTAGTTGGGGTGGTGGGGGCGGCTGTAGAGCGGACTTTTATTCCAAGAGATCTAGGCACGAGATGCTAATCGTGATGGAGGTTCGGTTGGTTTGTTGTTGTAAGGTGGATTGGGGTTGGCTTGCCCGGTAGTTTTCCTGGGAACAAATTCGCGACCACGACGCTCCTCTGCAGTAGTCGGATGGAGTACGTATGTATGTGTAAGTAATGTAAGTAGGTTAAAAAAAAAATACGTGGTAATAGTAGTAGTAGTAGAAAGAGGGATAGTAGTACTACTATGTATGTTGTATGTCGGTTGATCGTTTTCGTGCAGGACGGGGAAGGACTTGATACAAATGAGATGCAGCCGACACTTGATTAGACCGCTGCACTCTGCTGCAGGCAGGAGACAGGCAGGCAGGGTGCGTGAGAGGTCTTGGGTTGAAGAAGGGGAGGGGGGGAAAAGAGGCAGAGACGCCCGGGATGGGAGTATCTAAGGTAGGTAGATATTGGTGAACATGGACATGCCCTGGCCGGAGGTTCCATCCAACACCCCAGTCGCACTGTAGGGTACTTGATCGCTTGGAGGACCGAGACTGGGGCAGGGGCCTGACGGGGGGCCTGGCAGGGGCTGGGTGACTACCGCGGGTGGGTATGGGTCGGGTGCAGGGATAAGCCACTCGTACTGCCGTACAGTGTGGTAGAAGTTCGAGTATAGTTGAACGAACGGTCAAGACAAAGTATCTTTTCCCTCTGCCTCTCTTCTGCCCATGCCAGGGGAAGAAGAAGAAAAAAAATTGCAATTCCCATTCTTTGGCATCGGCTTCGGCTTCGGCCGCCCGTAGTCAGTCAGTGTGTCAATCACTAGATATTTTATCATGTTGCAATGTAATGTAGTATGTGTTTCTGTTTCCTGTGTGTCTCGCTGTTGATGCCATATACATTGACTAGCGGCTCTTCTACATTTACCATGTACGCTTCATAAAGCATTCTTTTGCGCATCATGGCATCCATTTGATACGCTGGATATTCCTGAATGCAAAAGAAGGTTTTCAAGGCTCTGTTCCATACTTCGCTTACCAACAAGGAAGTACCCAAGTGCTGAGCTGAGGTGACTTGCCCAACAAGGCCCCCTCCCTTTTTTCCTTCTCGTGCCACGACTGCCAATCATCAGAACCTTCTTGTTCTTGCAGGAGGATAGGAGACAATGAGAAAAAGGACTTTTCAGCAGGATGCTTCTGGAATGGGTACAGAATGTTCCTCACAGCCAGCAGCAGGCTTCCGCACGGTCTTTGTCGGACAACCCCAAGCCTGGGAACGGGAAACAAGGAGGCTGCCTGTGCCATCATGCCAGCTGCGGTACATGCGATTGGGGCTCTTCCCAGTGCATTTTGACGAAACCAGGCAGAGATGATCATTGTGGCGCGACGCTAGAAAGGCACTAGAAGAATGGGAGAGACAACCCTGAACCAATCATATGACACATACGACTGGGGCTTTGAAGAGATTGACGCCTTATTACTCCCTTTTCAGCTAGAGAGAAAGACCTTCTAGACACGGACCCCACCCTTCTGTTGCCCCCTTTGCTGAGGCCCGATTAAAGCAGCGAGGGCGGATCCAAAGAAGAAAAATGGCCACTGGGCTGGCTCATAGTCAGTCATACCGTCCATAGTGTAGACTAGGGTAAACGTACGGATACTTGGTAGGCGGGGCGTACAGGATGGATATGTAAGCAACAGTCAGGTAGAAAAAGAAGCACCTGATGCCGCTGACGGGACAGTCAAAGAAAGAGCAGCCAAAGGCGGCCACTGGCGGGGTATTATTCGAGGTCATAGTACCTACGTACATGCCGACCCTCACAGGGGGCCCCCCTCCCTAGCTGGAGTTGGGTAGTGTAGTGTACAGGTATGGTAGGTCGACACCAATAGAGGCTGGCCGTCGCCTTCGAGAACAAGCACAAGCACGCCACTAGCTTGCCGGTTGCTGTCATCGCCTACGCAATACCTACATCGCGTGCCTGTCCCTGATGTAATGCCTCCATCGTAAGGTTGGTGGGATACATAGTAGTGGTGTTGTACTGGGTAGGTAATTATGCACAACACCACGAGATGTCAGCAGAAAAGAATGGAATGGGACGCAGCTGCTTGACGATCATGAAGGTTTCAAAGTGTTTCTTTGTTTGCGCCCCGCCCTCTCCAGACACTCAGATCATATACGGGCCCTTTTCCTGCACACTATTATCAGGCCTCTGTCGGGCTTCTGGCTTCAGGCTTCACTGGTGACTGCGCTGTTCAACTCGTTTTCTGTCTGTGCTTTGCAACGGGGGCCCAGCTCAGGCCAGATCGGCTCGGGATACGGAGCGTTGCGATACTCTATTACGTGAAGCACCACTTGCTGCTCCTCGCGATTACGTTGACTATCCGAGATCCGTTTGGGCAGTGCGCTCTATTGTTTGTTCGTTTAAAGTTCCAATGTTGCCCATGACCGACGGCTTCCTGACAAAAACCCGCCCGCCGCTCCTCCGGGGCACGCCTATTTTGCATCCCCGAGCGTTCTCGTACCTCCCTTTTTTTTTCTGCCTCCCTTCATTGCCAAAAATGCATCCAGACTGCCAAAAGACCACGAGTGTCCAGTCGATAGTCTGCGAGAGGGAAACTCCTGCATCAGACACTTCCCTTTTTCGTAGCTTGGGTACGGAGTAGATGCGCAAAGAAATGAGGGCGGACCACACCTCCAGGCGCACGCCATGATTTATCCGCAGAATGCCACCTTCCTAACTCACTCATATTCCGCGCCCACTCGAAGCAGACCTCGGCATGCAGTCTTGTGTGTTCACGTAGCGAATCTCACCAGTGTGCGACCACAGCTTACCTACGTATATCCAGCATTTATCTAGATACTAGTATTCATTCCCCGTTGTTTTAAACCTCGCCAAGGCTATAAGGGGGGAACCATTTGTGACAGGGCTCCATAGCCATACCGTCGCCGCTCTTCAGCAAAGGCCGATGTCGCCACTGCACAGCATAACAGAAGCCGCTGGGATTAACAGTCCTACACGAATTTATGCTCAATATGTCTAGGCAAAATGAAGATCCATACATGGCTGTGCGTTGACCAAAATGAATGTGGTGTTCTTGCTGGATCCGTCACACGAAACGCATTCGGTATCAATTGTTGCGCCCCATATGTGCCATTGTCGATCAATGTCTTAGTATCGGCAGTTGTGACTTTTGACAGGTACGCACGGATGGGCGAGAAATGTCGCGACTGGCCTAACAGGAAAATCGAATAGCGACAACACCACCTTTGCACAGGTTGCGTATACGACATTGCTTTTAGTTCCTCGCTGTTCTTACCGTCGCATGTCAAAAAGGGTGCCGTGTACCCAGGTACTGTCTGGAGATATGTATGCTTTCTCCGTTTCTAAAGCATCAGATTGGCCAGAGCCGCAAATTGCATCATAAGACATAAGCGCTACTCCCAGGTCAAAGGATGCTAAAGTAGGATCGATCACAAGCCAGTCTGACCAACATTCGTCGCACATGCTGCGGCTGCTGCTGCTGCTGCTGCTAGTGTACTACCAACTACTGCTAAGAAGAGACAAAGATCAGCCTTGCGAGGAATGAATGCTATGCCACTGTGTACATCTATTCGGAGCAACAGTGTGAGTGTCGCAATTGTTGTATCTGAGAGGAGACAGGGGAAATCTCGGGCGTTTTTACTCTTCCAGACATGGACGACAGTATCAGACAACTTTAATTGGAGGCTTGCAATCATTCCTACCCGAATGGTAACTATAATGAACGAGCTATTCACAAC